GCTCGTCATTTTTAGGTCCGGCCAACTTTATTTTTTCGACGAGCTCACCTCAGGTAGCACCACCTCAGTCCGTTCCAGCAACCACGTGCAGTCCACGTCGAGCCAAACCGCAAGCCTTTCCTGTTGCAGCTCCCTACACCCGTTTTCTAGCTCGACCCAACGTCCGGGCGACCGAACCAGCTTCATATCCGACCTGTCACCTCAGATCCGTGACCAGAAGCTCAAAACCGAGCTCCACAGCCCAAGATCCATAGTCCGCACCATTAGATCCGAACCGGTTCACTCCATTTTCCCTCTCCTTAGCCCGATCCGTTTTTCGATCCGTCTTTTTCGAACACTTGGAGGTATAATAGCTAAAAACTCATTTTAATGGCTTGGACTTGATAATATATACAATATAAAATAAAACGAGAAGTTGATTTGAGTTGATTTTGGAAAATTCGGTGCATACGAGCTTAAAGCGAATAAACTGGGATTTTTCGATAAACGCGTTAAAATGTTGAAATAAATATGATAAATTCTGATTAGCTGACTTGAGGCCTAGGTTTTAATTTCGTGATTTTTGGAGCCCGTTTACTATATTAACCGGATTTTTGAATATGTAGCTGAAATGCCCGATTTTTGATAAAAATGCTAAAGACCTCGAAATGCAATGAAATTTTATAGAAAAATCTTATAAATGCGAAATGTGTTATGTTTAAAATTTCGTAAATTTTGGAGACTGTTTAGTATGCCAAATAATTTGGAGGCTTTAGCTGCGTTTTGTGAAAATTGCTAAATATTATCCGATTGACAATTAGCTGCAGTTGTTGGGCCTAAAATCACTAGAAATCACGTTGAACTTAGAGTTTGAGTTTCGACTTGAACCGAGATAGATAGCCGGTTGAGTAGAGAACCATAGTTCAGCCTTTTCCCGGTCAGTCCGGATGAACTCTAGATCCGGGTAAAAAAATTGTGCGTTGGTTGACGCCGTGTCTGCGTATGTACCCGAACCACGGTTAAACTGAGTTGCATCAAGTCAGACGAGCAACCGGCCAGCTATGATCGAGCCGCCGGTCCAATTTAACTGAATCGGCCCGGATAGTCTGGACGATTCAAGAATAGCAGTTCGGAATGTCGGTTTGAGCGTGAACCGAGTTTCAGTATTTTTCCAAACCCAGTAAACAAACCTTAGAAATATTTCAAAGAACTCTAGAATGCCTCAAAGTCAACAAACCTTTCCAAAATAGCTCAAGTCCTTTTAATCCAGATTAAATGATTTTATAATCGAGCGAGAGAACTTACTAAGATCAGATAATAATAATAAGAATCAAGTTTTCAGTTTGAGCTTAGTACTTAGTACTTTCTGCTCAATAATTTGTGTAGCTTACGGAGAATCGAGCCTTCGACAGCTACCATTCAGCCAACACTTGCATCAGTAGCAGTTTACCAGGTGGGGGTCAGGTACTGGTTATACATCGTCTTTAATTTTCGTACCATGCCCGAGGTATGTATGAGAAATAGTTAGATCACCATGAGGGAGGCCGTGGCGGGCCTTAATGATCCCCTGTGGTTCTGAGGGAGGCCTTTATTGGCCTTAATGATCCCCCAGAGTGTGCACATGATTGGCTTTTAAGCCCCAGGGTCTTTATGACCACCAGATGCCCTAGTTACAGTTTTAGTTCAGATCAGTTCTTATATACTTAAAGTCATGATATTGTTATTAACGATGCTGTATAATTAAGTACTGGTCTTTGCGGAGCATAGTGGTTTTTGCTCACGCCCCCCCATTACGTTTTTCAGGTGACGGAGCGGCGCGTGGTGCGTGAGTTTCAGTGGTGGTTGTGGTCATTAGCAGTCTTTTTGTAACGCATCTACATGTCATTTATTGAACATGTACTATTATTACTATGCGTAGAAATATTATGTTTCAGCTTCCGCACATTTCAGACTTAGTATGTATTATGAGATTATCAGACTTATGCATGTATAATGCCTTTATTTCCGTGGTACCTTTATATAACATATTTGATTAGGTTGCATGTATTTATTTACGTCTGCATGAGAAAGAGTTTAAGTTAGTAGCATCCCGGGAGTTAGTATGAGTATTTTCAAAAATAAAGTTAAAGAGTTTTTCGAAAATAAAAAGCAAAAATTTTACTCTGATTTTATAAATTCTAGAATAATTAGACGGGGTGTTACAGTTGGTATCAGAGCCACTTTCTGGTTCTGTATACTTAAAAGTTTAGAAAAGCATGACCACGCTACGCTCACGCCGCGCCGACTCCGAGGTAAGTCACCTAAGCTTTAAATTTCTGCAAGTGCATGAGAACATAGTAAGAAACCTTAGGGGCCATCTATCCTCCGACTAGAAAGAGAACTTTAGACAAAATTATAGAAAGTATATCTAAGTCCAACTGTAGACTATATCAGAATTCGAGCAAGAATCAATAGAGTTAAGCAGAAACCAGAACTCTAGCCAAGCTAGGTGTTTTCGATAAATTACTTAAATTCGTCAAGTAGTGTAGCTATTTGTTAATTGGCTATACTAATCAAGTTGTTATTTGGCTATTCAGAATGACGCCCTGTAGAGCTCCACCCGCAGAGCGGGATCAGGCAGTAGTCGCAGCCCAGTTCCGAACTTACACCCCTCCGGTCTTCACTGGAGAGGAGGGCCCGTTGGTCGTAGGAGACTGGATCCGCAAGATGGATCGTATTTTCTGGATGATGGGCATATCCGACCAGCACATGGTCGCTTGTGCCGAGTTTGAGATAGAGGGTGCGGCCGGAGACTGGTGGGACGACTACTGGCGTCTCAGGACAGCTGATGAGCGAGATGAGCTGACTTGGATCAGCTTAAGGGGATTTTGGAGGCCAAGTACTACCCTCGCCACTTTCGCGAGAGGATGGAG